TTTTTGGTGGCGTTATTCCTCATCAGCACAAACGTCTCCGTATGGCTTCTGTGGGCCATAGCGTATGGTTAGCGCTTCAGCGGATCAACTCTGCGGTGATAATTGGCGGACAATATGGTCCGTATGTGTTGTGTTGTATTGTAAACAAACACTTGCGATGATGTCTTGGACGCCCTCTGGAACTGTCTTTCTCTCTGTCTCTGTGAATGTGTTTAGTTATCTAATATCGGTTTCCATACCAATGAGACAATGGTATCGGCGATTCAGACATCGGTTCCCGCGAAGTGATGGACAATCAGTGGATAAATCATGTGTTGATTTCAATGTGAAAACAAATCTCAACAAATGTATTGACACAACACATGTCAACAACAAAGCCGTTCGCAAACAACGTTACGATTTTCCCACACAAATGTATGGTGTATTTGTATGAGTGCTAAGTTTGATATAGGGTGTTTTAGATAGAAATGGTATACGCGGTGGAATATTTCACCTAGGCTATATTTCAGGTATCAAATGACCCTGCATCTTTTTGAAAGTGTATCACTGGTTTAACTAGATTAGTTTTTGGCTTCATTTCATATGATTAGTATATTATTTGCATGTTTTGTTGAAAACTGGTTATTAATATGGTTTTGGTATAAACTGTACGCTATGTAAGCCTATGGTGTGTTTAATCCGGTTTAGTTAAGCCATAAATGGATTGCATATTAATGGCAAACAGTACTTCATATGATTTAATGTACTGTTAAAACGTTAAATATGTAGTTAAAAGTGCATAACAACAGACATTACAATTTCTCCTTCACTTTGAAAGGCTTTCCTAACACTTCAAAAATGTTTAATAATTTTTTTTATTTATAAAAACAACACATAATAAGTGATTATTTTTATTCATTTTTCTTACGGTAAAAATAATACATTAATTATAATAATATTTTTGAGCGAAAAATCAATTTTGTCATTGAATTGGAGACACAAAGAAGTAGAGGATATACAGAGACCAGACATATAGAGATACAGTACACCCTCTCTCACTGAAACCCATATCCCGGTGCAGTGATTGATGTTAAGCTACATGTTATAATACGGAGACACAAATACACTGATTGTTGCAATAATTACTTAATAATGTATGGATTTTATGTGTGAAAAATATTAGTTCATAATAAGGTTAACTAAACAAAAAAACTATGTGATCTAAGAAACAGTTTTGCTTTCGGACTAACCCTAAGGTTTCTACCGAAAGACAACACAAAAACTGAAAGTCATGTTCACATAGTTTTCAGTCAATATCTTGGGTTTGTTTTGTGGGTCCGGAAAGTAGTTAACGAAATATATAATGAAGTTTATTGTAAATAATTAGAAATTTTATTTTGTAATACATTTGAGGTTTTGTTTTATTGTGTTTTCGCTAAAGAAATATTCAAAGTTCTTTTCCCTTATTTTTCTCACACAATCAGGTCTT